TAAGCCTATTGGTATATGGTACCATTACTGAGCTCAATCCACAGCTTTCTCCAAATAACTATGAATGTTATTCATAAAATATACTGAAAAGTGAATGCATTGAAACACTGGAACAGCTTTTGTGTTATATTCTGCCATCAATTTATGTGGTTTTCAACAATAAAGGGCATTTTACTAGACAATTTACTCAGTATTTTCTGGATTTTTTACTATGAACATGTGGAAAATTTTAAATAATCTTGAGTGTTGCAATATGCAGAAAGTGCATGCATATAGTTGTTTTTTCTTGTGGTTTTTAAATTTTTTTTATTTTTACACATAGCAATAGCTCTGCAAATATATATTTGGAGATGCATTTTTAAAATCTGAAAATGTAAATTTAAGTTGGTAGTCTTCCATAAGTGATTGGGGAAGTCACGTAAGCGTGACATTTTCATTGGCATAAGAAATCAGGGGTCAAATGAACGAGACATTATTCTCCCTCTGAAATTTGTAGGCTCTATGCAAAACATGTATTTGAAGGGCTATTTTAAAATGTCTTCTGAATATAAAGTTCACTGGAATTTCAGAGGAGAGATATATTTAAACGGCCTTACATATTTTTGTATGTCTATATTAATTGCATAATCAAATGCATTGGCTCATTTATATTTCCTACTGAATAAGCATTTTAAGTAACATAAAAATAAGTAATACAGCTCAATATTCCATAAAATGCTTCTTAACGTGAAAGGCATTGTGGGAAAAATTAATTGTATGCATTTAAGGATTTTGCTTTTGAAAAGCAAAGCAGTCACCTGTCTACATTCATAGTGTCTTAATGCTATATTGAGGGAGTGGGATCTCTGCCTTATCTTGGGCTCTCTTGTTTGCTTTTCAGTTGCTGCGAGTGTGGCTGTGGAAGGGCTTCTTCCCTGTGCGCCGTTGCCCATCCAAGCCTAATATGGTTAGTGTTTCCTGCCCGCTTTCACTCGTATGTGATATCCCACTTATATGTATTATCGTCAGCATTCCTTTCTTTTTTTCCATTTGTGTACATTTTAACAGCTAGTACGCCAGTTATGCTTTACCAGAAGAGGAGAATGAAACTGATTCCCAAAGGGGGATCTTAACAAGTGATTTCACAATAGATAATTTCAAATAAAATATACATATAGCTCCTTACCCCTATGTCAAGCATTCAATTTATTTTCCAAGGATTTTCTGTGGTCCTGATTTACACAAAAAAGTTGGAAGGTTGGAGCATTTGTTTTACATTTAACATGTCGATGTGTTTGTTGTTCCAGTAAGATTAAAATCACATCATACATGAAAGTAGAATGCTACTTCTGTCAAGGTGAAATCACCTTTTCTATTCCCCAGGACCATGGAATGATCATAACACAACTGGGGATCTTCTGTTTTCATAATTGTTGTGGATACATGTGGCATTAAAGAACATAACCACATGTTATTTTAAGTGGTTTACTTAATATTTTTAAGCTTTAATTATTTCAGATATTAGAAGTCATATTCTTAATTTGATACTAGTGATGTGAAAAAAATATGCACATTCTGGGGATCAGTGTCCAAATGGAAACTCTTAATTATTTACAAATGCAAATCCTAAATATATATCTGGGTTATAGCTATAAAGTGCAGGCTAGAACATAAGACCAGAGAACGCTATTCACAGATTAGAAAGAATCCTACACAATAGTGAGCAACCTTGTAAAAAGTGAAATACTCCAGATATTTTCTTTCTAGATTAGAGTCTAAATCCCTGTGCCACTGTATTGAGTTGTTATTTACAATCAAAATCCTCCAAGAAAAGCTACTCTGAAATGCATTTTAGGGAATCATAGGGTTTCCTTGGGGCATTTTAAACTGTTATTTGTATTCTCTAGGTGTAAATTAATGTTTGTTGATTCAAAAACCTGTGGTATGAATGAGTGTGCATGCATACATAGATGTAAGAAATGGTATAGTAGATACCAATGATCTGAGAACAAGAGAGAGTCAACAAACACAGGTTGATAAAATTCAAATATCTTTTTCTGCATCCTATGAAGTTTTTATATTTGAAAAAAATGCTGAAGTTAATATGAAAGTACAAATTTATTCCAATTTTTTTGACTTAGGGAATTCTATTGTGAGCCTGGGACTTCAATGATAAAACCAAAAAAAAAAANGTGTTATTAAATTCATTCTTCCAAGCAACCCTATGTGGTATAGTTGCTATTTTTATCTCATTTGCATCAGTGACTGGTTTACCCAAACTATGCATTTAGTAATGCACTCATCTAGGACTGCTCCTACTCTGACCTCAAACCCCAGGATCTTAACTATCTTGCTACACAGTGGTGTCAAAAGGAGAGCAAATTTTTATCACTCTTTGATAGGTGTTTACAGCATTGTTTTCTAAAAGATGAGTGCTACTTTTGAATGTGGCCTGCCACATGTGAGGGCACAAGCTCCACCCTTTACTTCGGCACTGAGTACCATCATTTTGTTGTTGTTTTAGTTTAAGTGGGTAAATTATGCAGCCTTTTCAATGTATTCCTTTTTATAAAAAGCGAAAATATTTTCTATCTAATAAGAGTATTTCTTTTGTGGAATTAGTCTTCCTGCTTTTCTTTCACTTATCTGTTAGGATCTTTGTGTTTTTCTTAACCACTGTACGACTATAATCTCTTATTTAAGAACTTAAGTCATCATTTATCCACAGTCCATAATCTTGCTTCTCTGATCTAATATCTTTGAGAATTTCTTCCCTAGAGTTAGAATCACCTTGCTTCGGTAGGAGGAGGGCATCTTACTTACATTGATACATTTCATACACATATTGATCAACTCTGTGTAATGCAAGGCCTGGCTAAAGTCATTTCATTGAATCTTCTTTGGGCCTGGAAAGCTTCTGTTGCCATGTTTTAATCTTCTGAAGGACAAATCGAAAAAGCCTTAAA